TAGAGCCTATATCAGATTGCCATCTTGGGGAGGAAGGTGGGATGGGAGGGGAAGAAAAATTTAAAACTCAAAAGCTTATGGACCTGATTGTTGATAATTCAAAATAAATTAATTTTAAAAAGAAAAAAAAAACTAATTCAAGTCTGATCACAACCGATGACAACAGAGAAGAGGATGAATCACCAGTTGCACTGATCTTTGGGGCTTGTTCTCCCACGCAGTAAAGCAGGGGAAGGAGTACAGAAGGAAGTATTAAATTAAAATAAACAGATCAGCTCTGGATTTTCAAGCCCCATTTTGCAGTTACTTGTTTCATTGTGTACTGCTAGGAAAAGGGCTTATTATGAAGAAGTATCAACAATGACATTTTAGGGACAGCATTCCTGTAATATGAATAAACTGTAACATCATTCTCCCCTGCTTTTTCTCTCTTATAAAATATTGTCCCATTTTTTTCAATCAAGCTCAGTGGAAAGAGTACTGAATTTGAAGATAAAGGACCTGAATTCAGATTTCACCTCTGTCTTTACTCCTCTGGCAAGTCACTTAACTTTTCTGGGCCTTAGTTTTTCATATGTAAAATGAGAGAGCAAGACTGAATGACCTCTTAAGTCCCTTCTATCCCTAAGGATATAATATTATGATCAACAAATGTTTATTGAATGTCAATTCTGTATTAGGCACTGTGTTATATATTCAGGGGAATACAATCTGCTGATCTATCAACATTACAACTAAGTGGTTTCCTTTGGGAAAGATAGAAATGGTACAGTGGAGAGTATAAACACTTCTGTTTTATCTTAATCCTCTGTTTTATAGTTTCTGCAACTATAAAATAGAGATAATGATACCTGCAGCACTTACTAATAGAATGTAAGTTCCTCTAACACTGAGACTATTACATTTCTTCTCTTTGTATCCTCAGCTAAGCACAACGTCTGACACCAAACAGATGCTTAATAATGCTTGTTATCTCCCAGCATTATGAAACTTTAAGTGATAATGTATATAAAGAACATAATAAAGGTTCCTGACTATGTAAATGTTAATTATTTTGTTATTTAATGTAAATGCCACAGCTATATGTATGTAAGAAGCTGGCCAGTAGAATCCTGGATTTGCCTCTTTTTACTTTTTCATATCAGAAATTCTATCATTACAGAGGGTTAGACTAAAATTTACTTCTAACTCTTAGATATTTTGAAAGACTCCCCTGGAAACTGTACAACTGTACAATGCTTCCCACTAGTGTTTTGATACTTCTTTGCACTTGTGAAAAATGAATATTTTTCTCTTTTATTTAATAACTGATTATTGTATTAGGACCAAGGTTTTTCCCCTTTTCTGCTTCCTCTTCCAGAAACGAACCATTGTGGGAAATCTCTCTTAAAGATTTATCCAGGCCAAGAGCTAATCAGACAGTAAAAAAAATTCTAAGTTTGGGCTAAAATGGGTACATTCCTTCTCATCGTGTTTGCTCAAACAGGTCTGGGAAGTATTGATTCTCTCTTTTGTCAGACAGGTGATATGAAAATTGTTATCTCTTTTGACCAAGATTTGGGTGATCCAAGTCACAGACCCCAAAACCCTCATTGTAATATAGCCCAGCTTGTCATTGTAATATCCATTTTTTTCATAAATTGTTAGCCAGAGTTGATTGCCACCATCAGGAATATCTGCTCTTCAAAGGGCATATAAATTCTGAGCCCACTGCCATTAGGGGTCTTTGGCCTAAGAGAGAAGGTCAAATAACCTTCCTTTTGTTAATAGATGTGCTTGGCTTATTAAAAAAAGTTATTAAATTATCCACAAGCTACGTCTCTCAGAATTTTCTAATCACACACTGAAGTAACTTGAATCTATTCATTTATCACACCTCCCCCATCCCCAAATAAATCATTAACCTAGTTATTGTTTACTTTTCATGACCCCATTTGGAGTTTTCTTGGCAAAGATATTGTAGTGGTTTGATAGTCCCTTCTCCAGCTCATTTTACAGGTGAGGAAACTGAAGCAAACAGAGTTAAGTGACCTATCCAGAGTCACACAGCTAGTTAGTGTGTGAATTCACATTTGAACTCAGATCCTCCTGACTCCAGGGCCCACACTCTATCCACTGAACCCCTTACCTACCACAACCAAGAGCAAAGTGAAATTCTCTGTCACTAAGTAATCTTGTGGTAGAGTAGAAAGCATATTGGATTTGGAGTCTGAAGAGGAGAGTTCATAGTCTTCCTTTGATACTTATTATCTGTGTGACTTTAGTTGTCACTTAAATTTTCAGGGCCTTTGTTTCTTCATCTGTAAAATGAGGGAATAGGATTAGGTGGACTCTAAAGTCCCTCCCAACTCTAATTCTATGATCCTATGAATGTTATTAGGAAAAGCCTCCTTATTGTTTCAAAATAAAGATATCACCACTTCCCCACAAAACAATGATTATTTTTGAGGGGCAGCTAGGTGGCACAGTGGATAGAGCACTGGCCCTGAAGTCAGGAGGACCTGAGGTCAAATCCAGCCTCAGTCCAAACACTTGACACTTACCAGCTGTGTGACCCCGGGCAAGTCACTTAACCCCAATTGCCTAAAAAAAGACCCCAATGATTATTGGGACTGTTGCTTTGTAAAAATAGAAAAGGGATGATGACCTCTCTTGGGAAATTTTCCTGCTTTTTTTTTTTTACTCTGATCAAGCCAAGTAGTTCAATAAAGTGGGATGTTGTCGAATCCTTCTCCCAAATTAGCACTTCAGGAGAGAAAGTTATTGGAGAATTTGAAGGCTTCAATCATTGCCATTTATCTACAATACCCACTTCTGTCAAATTGTGCCTGAGTTGCCTCTATACCACAAAGGGGCCAAAAGCTGTTTCTTTCCAATTAATAAAAGGAAGAAAATAAGAGTTTCTTAAGCACTGACAGTGTGCCAGCATTTTGTACGTATTATCTCCTTTGGTCTTTACAAACCCGGGAAAGTAGTGGTTATTTTATTCTGATTTTACAGATGAAGGAACTGACGGCAGACAGTGGTTAAATGACTTGCTTAGGGTCACAAAGATAGTAATTGCCTGAGGCAGAACTTGAATTCAAATCTTTCTGACTCCAGGCCTAGATCTAAGATGACACCTAGCTGCCTCAGAGAGAGAAGGTGTTACCTAATCTTTAGGGAGCTGAACTCCAAATCATGAAGACCTATGTTCAACTCCCCTCTCCCCAACTATGTGACCCGGGCAAGTCATTTAACCTATCTCTGTCCCAGACAACTCTTAGAAACCACAAATTGCTGATCTACACTAGTAAAGGGAATTTCCTACATCAATGAAGTCAGAGCCTGATAGTAAAGGAGGAGGAGCACCTTTGTGAAATTTTTTTTATACGATCCAAGATTCAGTTTGATCCTTGCCTCAATGCGATCTGAGTAATATTTGGAATCCCAAAGTTCAGGACAAGGAAACATGGCAGATACAAGATGGCAGAGTCACTAAAACAAGCTATTATGCTGATGGAAATACTCATCGTAAGAAGGGATGATCAGGGAAGATAGAAACAAGTTCACTGTTGGTGGAACGGGGCTCTGCAAAACCAATAAAATCCAGTGGGTTTTTATAGGGTTTTTATCTGGGTCAAGCAGAACCAGGCATTAAGGAGAAGTGGGATCTTTGGCCCCAGGGACTGGTGCTGATTCATGCTGGGGAATTGGTTAGTCAATAAACATTTTCATTGTTCAGTTGTTTTTTCAGTCTTGTGTCTAACTCGACCTCATTTGGGGTTTTCTTGGTAAAGATACTGGAGTGGTTTGCCATTTCCTTCTCTAGCTCATTCTATAGATGAGGAACCTGAGGCAAACAGGGTTAAGTGACTTGTCCAGGGTCACATAGCTAGTAAGTGTCTGAGGCTGGATTTGAACTGAGGAAGAGGACTCTCCTTGACTCTATGCTCAGTATTCTATCCACTGTGCCACTTGGCTATTCAAATATATATTTAGTCGGAACTATATGCCAGGCTCTGTACTAAGCCCTGGGGACAATCCCTGCACTGGGGAAAGACAATCGACAAAAAGCTTGCTTTTATAAAATGGGGGGGGGGTGGAATGCCTGGGGAATTGGTGTCTAGTTCCTGACTTTAACCTCTCAGGGGCTTTTCTGTTGAGCTGGGTGGGGAGGCTCTTGAGGTCTTTACAACATCCACGATATAAGGTTTTTGTTTGGGGATGACTTGAACTTAGTGTAGCCATTTCCAGTCTCAGAGAAAGCAGGAAGTTCTGGTTTTCAGATAAACTATAGCAGATTGGGTGAGGGAGACCAGTGTTTAGTGGTTTAGGATGAGTGGTAGGGAAGAACAGGGCAAAGCATGAACTTATCCTGCTCCACCCAATCCCTTTCAGACTTGCTCCTGAAATGATTTGCATAGAATTAGGAGGATGCAATGGAGATTGAAAGAAATTTCACCACAGCCTTCACCAGGACTGCATTCTTGCTGCCATCATGACTGTGGGGACTCGGGCTAAAGAAGAAGGATAAAGATAAAGAGTTTAAATGAATTTTCTGTCTTGTAGAAAGAATACTGACTCTGAAGTCAGAGGCTATGGGTTCAAATTCCACTACCTGAGTGATCTGGGAATTGGTTAATTAACTTTCCTGTGCCTCAATTTCATCATCTGCAATATGAGAGGGTTGGACTAGGTGACCTTTCAGGTGCTCATGATCCAAGGATTAAAAATTAGGCAGATTTAACCTAAATCTGATGACTTCTACATTCTGACTGGCTAGCTATTGCCTGTGACTGTGGCTTAAATCACAGAAGAGCTGAGGTGCTACACTAAAAGAGTTAAAAACACCTCCCTTGTGAAAATTTTAAAGGCCATGTAGGAGTGGCTCAACTTAGGAGAGACACCAGATGAGAGCAGTTCATCGAAGATACTAGCACTTAAACAAAAATACCAACAGAAAACAGTATCATAGAAGGCTAGCTCAGCAGAGATACCATAGCTCAGCAAAGACAGAAGCTCAAAGCAGCAGAGGATATTGTCACCTATATGGAGATGAAAGAGGTAAGAACGAGACTTAAAGGCTTTCTCTTTTGTTTTTTAACATTTTAATTTATTATTTATTTTTAACATTCTTTTCTTTTAAAATTTTGAGTTCCAAATTTTTTCCCTCTCTTCTACTCCCTCCCATACTCATTGAGAAGGCAAACAATATATATCAATTTTACATCTGAAATCACATAAAGCATTTCTATATTATCCATATTTCCAAAAAATGAAGAAAAATAAAGAAAAAAATTATACTTCAATTTTCACTCAGAGGTCATCAGTTCTCTCTCTGGAGGTAGATAGTGTTTTTTATCATGGGTCCTCTATAATTGCCTCGGATCATTCTATTGCATAGAGTAGCCAAGTCTTTCACAAATGATCATCATGACAATGATCTCCCAGTTCTTCTTGCTTCACTTTGCATTAGTTTATATAGTTCTTGCCATGTTTTTTCTGAAATTACTCTGCTCGTCATTTCTTATAGCACAATCATATGCCATAACTTGTTCAGCCATTCCCCAATTAATGATCATCCCCTTGATTTCTGATACTTTGCCACCACAAAAAGAGCTGCTATAAATATTTTGTACATTTGGGTCCTTTTCCTTTTTCTTTGATTTCATTGGGATACAGACTGTCAAAATATTAGGAGAGACCTGTTTTTCCAAAGTGAAGCCCTAGCAAGCAGGCTGTGCCCTGAGTTTGCCATGAGAACAATCCTTTGTGTTCACCCTCTGCCAAAATGTATTGCTTTGACCAGCATTAGGTGTTCAGTGAAGGATTTATGATTTTTATATTAATCAGCAACTATTTAGATTCGTTGGAGCTCCCCTGTTTCCCAGGAGATTCTGTCCTGAGAGCTAGAGCTAAAGACAACAGGCAGCAGCAGAAAGTGATCAGTCAAATCTCCTAACATCTGATCAATCCCTGGGCTTGTAATGAACTAATGAAATAATGTAATGAACTTAAGAAATAATGCCAAATGAACCAAACCAGGTGCTACACCCTTGTTCTCACCACACTAATTCTGGTTCCATACCCTGCTGAACTATCACAAGGTTCAAAGATTCTAATTTGGGGCCTGTTCCCACAAGACCCAAGAACACCTGAATTGTCCCAAGAAATGCCAACCATAGGAACTGTTTATTCAAGACTGTGTTGGGTCCTGCTTTCTTGTGGTTTTCATGGATAAAATGCCACAGACCACTAGCCCTCCCTCCCAGGAAGACTTCGGTTTGCAGACCTGTTTTCCTCACTTTGAAATTAAACTTCTATTTGATTCCTTACTCTCCTGTCCCTAGCCAGCTTTGTTTGGCTCTGGCCACCCACAGGTCAGAGATTGGTTCTGGTCCAGTTGACAAGACCTAGTAGTAGTGGCATTGCTGGGTCAGAGTATGAACAGTTTTATAGTCCTTTGGGCATAGTTTTAAACATTTCTCCCAAATGGCTGCCCCACTTCACTACTCCACCAGCAGTTTAATAGTGTACCTATTTTTCCCTCATCCCCTCTAGCATATATCATTTCTGATAAGTATGAGGCGGTACCTCAGAATTGTTTCAATTTGTATTTCTCTAATCAATACGATTTAGAGCATTTTTTTTCCCATATGACTACAGATAGCTTTGATATCTTCTTCTGAAAATAAGGCAGAAATTTTCTTCTGGGATACCACCCTAGTAGAATGTGTCGTCCTGGACACATTTGTTCCTTATGAGTGTCCCCTTTCCCAGTGGTGGGGTGGTAACCTGTGGGAGGGTACTCCCCTGTATGTAAAGAGACCTTTCTTGTCCCTTATTTTGCTACCCTATTTAATTTAATGGCTTTTGTTTTAAACCAATGTGTCCTCTGGTTGGTTTAGGAAAGGAAACACATTGGTGGGAACTCATGAGGTATAGTTTCTGAATGGATGCTAATGAACAGTGTGCCTAGAATTTGAGGTGGCTTTCAGGAGACTCACATGTGAGGATGGGCCCAAGTGTTACATGTTTCTTAATCTTACTGCTGTCAATATTTCCTTCTTGATTTGACTAGAAATGTAGTTTTATGTACTAGATATAAACTTTATAGTATTGTGGGGGCACTTGTATCATCAATGTGTTCTTTTATACGCAATACTTTTAGAAAAGGAAGTAGTGTGTTGTAGTGGGAAAAGGACTTTACCCCGCTGGGAATTAGGAGACCAAGACTTTAGTTCAACATATACCACTAAAATATGTCACCTTAGGTGAGTCACTCTGGGTCTCTGTTCATTCACAAAATGATTGAGTTGAATGAGACAATCTCTAAATTCCCCTTCCTCCTCTAAAATTCAATGACAGTATTCTTAAAGTACAATTTTACTATTTGGAATGAATAGAAAGATTTGTTATATTTGTATTCTTGCTCTTTTAGAAAGTTTTATTGATAGTTTGTTCTGATGGAACAAATATTTACAGACTACCTCCACTCCTTGAGAAGTCTCCTCAGTCAGTCAACAATTATTTATTGTATTTACTACGTGCAAGACTCTGTGCTAAATTCTGGGAATATAAATAGAAGCCAAAAAAAAAGAAGACAGTCTCTGCTCTTTGGGAGCTTAGATTCTAATGGAAGGAGACAATGCACAGCTCCTTCTGGAGCTGGGGGAGTTAAGTGGGGTGCTGCTGCAGGAAGAAGCAGTGCAGCTTAGGGATAAAAATATCCCTGGTTCTGGGGGAAACCAAGCAATCAAAAGGTGAGGTCTCAGAGGCAGAGAGGACTTTCAATGTGAGTAGTCCAGGAATAGAATGAGCTTCCACGGTAAACAAGTTTCTATGGCATGGTAGAGAAAGCCCATTGGAGATGAGTCAACAATGTAGTCTGCAGAAGGAAGAACAAAGCAAAACAAAGGTTAAAACTAACAATACAGTGACCTCATCTGGCAGTGCATGCAAAGTTCCACATCCATAGCACTCCTTTCAACATTCTACCTTTTTAAAATTTTTAATGAACAGAAGTGTATTTTCTCTCCCTTCCATCCTCCTAACCCCATCGGAAAAACCCCAGAGAAAAGAAAAACAAATTCCTTATCATTAAAAAAATATCCAGAGTTAAGCAAAACAAATTCAGTCATTTTTAATTCTTCGTCACTCTACTTGGGGTTTTCTTGGTGAAGATATTAGAGTAGTTTGCCATTTCCTTCTCTATATCATTTTATAGATGAGGAAACTGAGGCAAACAGGGTTAAATGACTTGCCTGGCATCACACAGGGTATGTGAGGTCAGATTTGAACTCAGGTCCTCCTGACTCCAGGGCTGGTGCTCTATCTACTATGCCATCTGGTTGCCCTAATTCTATCATTGGCTACATACAAAAATATGAATCCTTTTTAGTCTGTCACCTCTTCTAGAAGACGTATAGCATATTTCCTCATTGGTCTTCTGGAATCATGGATGGCCATTGTATTGATCATAGCTCTTGGCTTTCAAAGCTGTCTGTTTTTATAGTATTGTTAACAGTATAAAAAAAAGAAAGCATATTAATGCTGTAACAACCAATTGTTCATAGCTATGATTTACTTGAAATTTTACTTAAGTTCTTACTCTGGAATGCAATGTTTCTATGCAAAAATGGGTTCTACTTTACAATGAGCTACTTTATGATGTCATTTCCAAAATCAATCAATCAATAAGCATCTATTAATCATCCACCCTGTGCATTAAGCACAGGGAGATACAAAGAGCAAAGTGAGACATTACTTGGCTTTACAGAGTTTTCGTTTTATTGAATCAAATTATGGTGAAAAATGGGGACTACCTAGAATTGTCCTGATGAAGCAAACAAAAGGCATTGCCCAGGCTACTCTAGAGATAAGAGAAGATGATATAAGAAGAACATTTTTTTCTCTTAGATATTGTCAACCAACTTCAACTAATACACAAAATTTCCGACAAAAGTCTTTATAATTCAACATGTAATATTGAGAGATGTTGGTGTAGGGGGATAAGTAGAACAGTGATGAGTGAGGGGCTGATGAGTGGAACTGGTCTCTCCCTGTAAAACATGTTACCCACTGGCAAACTGCTAAATGGAGAGATAGATCTGAGAGAACAACATGTACACTGACAAAGAAATGCAAAATATGATCCATACAATGCCCAATGCACATGGAAGCCCCTCCTGTTACACATATGACACAGTTCCTCGTTAGATTACATTTGGTCTTTTCTCCTTCATTTTCTTCTTTCTTTAGGAAGAAGTATATTTATGCTTCTTTCTCTTGAAGCGTTTGAGCCGAGTCTCAAAGGAAGACAGGCATTCCAAGAAGCAGAGGTCACAGCCTGAGCAAAGGCAGAGAGATAGGAAATGCAGGATCCATCATGTGTGACAAACAGCAAGTATGTCAGTTTAGCTGGAATGTTGAATATTTGAAGGGGATGGGAGAGGGGGTACAATACATAAACACACTGGAAAGGTAAGAAGCAGACAGGTTGGGAGGGACTTTAAATGCCAAACAAAGGAGTTTATGCTGATCCTAGAGGTAATAAGGAACCATTAGAGTTGAATGAGGGCAGAGGTGATATAGTCTGACCTATACTCACAGGTCAAATCCATAGTAATTAGCACTAAAACTGTGACCTGCTCCATTTTTCCCACCCTGGGGTGGTTCATCCCTCCTTAGGCAGTCTTGTTAGCTCTCTGCTCCCCAGGGCCCATCATATTGGAGTCACACTCTACATTAGTCCTACTACAGCTCAGAATTCCAGAGCTCACTAGCCTTAGCCTCCTCTAGCAACAGGATTTGTGTGTGGGCACCACTACTTAACAACTCTGACTGTCCAGGAGGTATTCTCAGATATGAGTATAAAGTGGGGTCCTGGTTTCCAGTCAAGCTACTAAATAAGTTACCAAAATATCTGAAAAAAGGAAATCCACATTTGAGTTCTGGCTGGAAGAATGAGTTTGTTGATTGTTCCATTGTTCTCTTGTCTTGTGCCAAGTCCAGGAAAAGTAACCCTAGAGTAACTCCTCACCCCCCCCCCAAAAAAAACCCCTGCTTCCTTCTCTTTTATTTTTTTTTCCTCTTTTTTTTTTTTTAGTGAACATTGGAGAGTTGGTGGGAGAGACAGGAGGACCAGGTAGCAAAAAGGAAAAAGGAAAAAAAAGAAAAGAGCATCAATGAGGCATTAAAAAATATACAGAAGACAACAGAAAGCCAGAAAGAATCACAGACATGCAAGACAGGTTTTGAAAGTTACATGTTGAATTTATTAAGTATTTTAAAAGAAAAGCAAACTGTACACAATAAGAGACAGTTCAGTGTACAATTTTGTATTTCTGTTTTCTATTTCTGTATGCATATGGAAAAAGCCAATTTATTTGGTGTTTGTCAAGTTCTGAAATGTTTTTTTAAGAAAAAACATGGTTGTACATACAAGGATTCTGAGGTTTTTGCTGGCCAAAACACTGCATCAAAATATTCTGGTTTTGCTATGGACAGATATACATAATAACAATTGGAAATCAGGCTAGGCAGGGGGAGAATACTGATTTTGCTTTCTTAGCCTACTTTATGCTCTGGCTCAAATTCATCTGCCTCTAAGAGGATTTTGGTAATATGAAAGAGGGTCAACCTTTCAGCTGGATAGATGTTTATAATAGCAGGGACCATGCTAGCCCCATATGTCTCCCTATATGGCCAAAACAACCCACAAAGTGTTATCCCTTTCACTGCTCAAGCAATTTCTGGTCGTGAGTATGTGCTGAGTAAACTTGCTTGTAACCTGCTTCTAGCTCCCAAGCAGTTCACAGGTATTCCCCTTGACACACTCAATCTCTGGCCCTGTGTCAGGCAGTTCCCCACCTACCTGGCCTACGTATCAACACGCATCCCATCTGACCTTTCAATTATAGCCAATAGGGGTGGGACAATGAAGAATTCAAGGAAATGAAGGAGGACTCATATGTAACTAATTAAGGAAGAAGGAACGAGGAAGAACCAAGATAACATCATATTGTGTGTACTTCCCACAAAAACATAAACGAAAAGGCAACAAAACTCAGCTATGTTGGTACCACACTATCAAAGTTAAAGCACATCTTTTCTGGTAACAATCAGAAAACAACAAAGATGGATCATAATGTCTTGTCCCATCTGTTGGGCCAATAGCCAGGCATATCACTTTCTTTTTAACTCTTGCCGCAATTTTGTGCTTGAGTTATTCTGAAGAAATTGGTTTTTCTGTAATTTGTTTTCTTTCAGTAGGATAAGTACTTGTATGGTATGATGTTGTAAACAACATATGTATCTTAAACTGATAAACCTATGTGTACCTTCTGACAGAACAGACTGTCAGTAGAAATATAAACAACTTAACCAGTAGTGTATGTAAGCAATTACCCATCAAATTATGTGGTAAATAATGTCATGCCACCCAGCTATCTACAGCCATAAGAAAGCCATGGGAAGGCCCCAGATATTAGCTAGCTTCTGGACTATAACTGAGTCTACCTTCCCACTTCTGCACTTAAAATTAGAGTAATGGGCAGGGGAAGCCTGTTGCGCAAGGTCAGAGCTGATTGACTTGCAGAAGAGCACCTCAACCACCTTGCACCTTCGAGGGAGACAGGCCTCAAGCTGGGAAGAGAGGGAACTTTGTGCTATGTCCAGTGTGAAAGAAACTTACCTGAATAAGGCTCAGGTTGGTGGTTAGTTCTTAGAGGGTATTGTTTGCATGTTTTGATTAATTGAGTTTGATTTCATGCCTTGAAGAGTGTAAGTCTAATTAGTGTTTTTGTCACACTAGCTCTCATGTATCACGGTAAACGGACCTTTACAGAAAAGAAATTCAGCAAAGCTGATAAATATATCAAAAATATGACATACGCAAAATCCGACACCTGTGCGACCTCACCTTCTCAAAGAAGTAGAATTTTCAAAATTAATTATTATTAATAAAATTTTGTTTAACAAGGAATTAGTATTACATTTTTATTTACTAATCTTAATTATTTTTTAGTAATAAGGGTAAAGCCTTGGAAAGCATGTGTACTGAAAACAATTTCAGAAATTGGGTCTTGAATTTAAATCCTCCTGATGCCAGTTGCATAAATCGACAGGCCTGTTAAAAATTTCACAAACCTTCTCCCCCCGCCCCCAATTTTTTTGAATTTGAAATTGCTATGTTATATGGTAATACAATTGGGAAGTTTGTTGTGCCAAATGCCCAAGACTTAAAAAACAAATTAGGGAACAGGGCAGAGACACATCCCCAATCTGGTGCATTACGGCCAGTTCTAGGAAGATGACAGCGCTGTTTCCTTCGGACTCCACTCTCCTTGGTGACCTCATTTCTGGGGCCCTCGACATTCTCCGCACCAGAACAGTGGGTGACTCTGGAGGTTCGGCGGCCCCAGCAGGGGGCAGCCCTCCTTGAGTGCCTACCCCGTCCCCTAACAGAGGCAGCCCTCACGCGGATGTGGGTAGAGACGCCACGCGCCGCCTGAGGAGGCGGAGCCCGGTAAGGGGCGTGGCTGAGCAGAGAGCCAGGCCGGGGCCGGGGCCGGGGGCGGGGCCGCGGCCGATTCTGCGGCGGCCTCCTCCAGCTTCGGAGCTGCACCGGGCAGCCGTGGGCCGCAGCCATGGCCGGGGAGCAGGCGATCCCCAGCAGCGACTCGCCACCTTCTCAGCCCGCCGCGAGCGACTCTGGCGTGGACGAAGGGGCGGCCGCCTGTGTGACCGGAGAGGGCTACGACCCCAAGTGCGTGTTCTGTCGGATCGCTCGGCGGGAGGAGCCCGGCACCCAACTGCTGCCCTGCGAGGTCAGCTGGGGGCGGGGAGGGAGGTACACCTGCTCCTCTGGCAGAGCCGGCACGATCTCTAAGCGCTTACGTTTATGCACGTGTGTCAGTGTGCTGGGCTGGGGGCTTTGCAGGGAGGGCCTGGCACAAACTTGGACCCCCGATCCCAGTTTGGGGGTGCAGGGAAGACTGGCGTATGTCCCCCGAGCTGGGGGGTCCAGCTGTTGGAAGGTAATTCACTAACCGCTGGCTAGCTGTGGTCTGGCTGCCCATCCTCTTGTCAAGTCTTTCAAAAAGAAGGATCGCTTTTACAAAAAAGGTGTTTTGTGTATTAAGGACGCCTTCATTTCTGTTTACAAAATGGCTTTAGTATCTTCAATATTTAGTCTCTTAAGTATAGTGTATTCAGGATATCACTGATAGAAAATAAAATGGTGTGTGATGTTAACAAGGAGGAAAGCTTTGTTTAAATAGTGTCTGCTTACTGTTTTTCCTTTCAGAGGATTGTACACTGCATAAATGTCACCCAGCATTGTGGATGGAAGAATATGTGGCATATCAATGAAAATGGCATAATAAAATAATCAACAAACATTTATTAAGCGCCCACTGTGTGCCAGGCACAGTGCTAAATGCTGGGGATACAAAAGAGGCAAGAAATAAAAATTAATTTTTAAAAATAGATTGTAAACTTAGTGATCATCAAACAGAACATTCAAATAAAATAAAAATGAAATCACACACAATCCCAAATGTTTATTATTTATTTATTTATTATTTATATATGTGTATATACATACTTTAACAAAAATGTCTCCTTTACTTCTGTGTCCTCTTCTGATATCTAATATTTAAAAAAATTTTTTTTTGGTTTTTTATTAATACTGAGTAATAGTGGTAGTGGATGTGTATGTTCTTCTGATTCTGCTTTCTTAACTCTTTCATGTTATTTATTTTGGTAATTTCAAAGGGTATTGATCTGTTCTATTGAAACAAGATGAAGTTATGCTGCTGTTTGCAGTAGCTGTACCTATGGACTGTTTGAAGTTTTGTGGGAGTTTTTTTCCCCAAATTTTATCTTTTTGCACAGTGAGGGCCTTTTTAAAAAAAATTTAAATAACATCATTAGGGTATTTACCTACTGTTACTGGTTCAAAGGGTGCTCTCAGTCTGGTAACCTTTACTGTAGTTTGCCACATTGCTTTTCAGAAAGATTGCACCAGTTCTTTGCTCCACCCACACTGTAATAAATGCTACAGCCAGTGTGCCCACAATACTACCAATACTGAATTTTTATAATTTTAATTATCTTTACTAGTTTGATGGATATATATATTACTTCACCATTCTGACTTGCATGTAATTTTTTAAGCATTCAAATATTTTTTTAGGTGATTATTAACAATTTCCTTCCAGCACTGCCTGTTTAAAGTTTTTTACATATAAATATGTGTGAATTTCTTACAGATTTTTGAATTCATATTTTTATCAGCTGTACATTCAGTGCAAAGATTTTTTTCTAATCCATTTCTTTTTTACTTGGAATTTTGTTTTTATGTGAAAATCTTATTTCTACATAATAAAATTTCTTTTGTCTCCTATAATTTCTTCCTAATTTTCCATTAGGAAAAAAAACCTTCCTTCTCACCACAATTTCAACAAATGTATCATTTTTTTCCTGATGCTTTGTGATGTGTTTTAAGCTATTTAAATAATGGATCTAATTGCCATTGTGGTATTATGTGGTGCTACAGAAAAATGGAGAAAATTCTATATGGGATCCAATTCTACCAATTTTTATAAGTTTCTCTTGGTCCCTTGCCCTGTGTTTTGTAATCCTTGGGTTTTTCAGACACTCATCTGTTGAATCCCTTTGGTCTAATTCTAGATTGTCTCTTCTGCTTGTTTAGCTTTTTTATTGTTTTGTTCAGTGTCAGTTTTGATTTTATGGTATAATCAAAACCTGATTGTGAAAGTTTGACCCCATCCCTCCAGCTCTTCCATATAAATTTTGTATCATTTTATTTCCTTCTATGAAAGGAAATTTGGAAAGACATAAAGTTTTATGAGGGGCAGACAGCTAGAGCATTACCCACATACAGGTGTATGGAGAGACAAAGAACAAGGGGAAGTAAAAGTGTAATAGGCTTAACATTTTACAAATTGATGTGCATTTTTACCTGCATTTAAAACATTAAATAGTTGTATTTGTGCTTCCTTTTTTGTTGAAAGTTAACTGGCAAAATGTTTAAAGTAAATGCTGACTTCTCTGAAAAGATTATAGAAAGAGTGCTAGATTTAGAGTTAGAGGACGTGGCTCAGTTTATTCCTGGTATAACCCTGGGAAACTGGCTCCACTTCCTTGGGCCTCAG